CCCCTGAGAGCAGTTTTTGGGATCAACCTCGTGTCCCTAAGTCCTCACAGATTCTGGAGCTGAGGGAACCATCCTAACTGAGGGGACCACACCAGAACAGCTCCTGGAGCTGAGGGAATCATCCCAAGTGAAGGAACCACCCCAGAACAGCTCCTGAAGATGAGGGAACCATCCCAGGTGGGGGAACCATCCCAGGTGAGGGAACCATCCCAGGGCAGCTTCTAGAGCTCAAGGAACCGTCCCAGGTCAGGGAACCATCCCAGAATAGCTCCTGAAGATGAGGGAATCATCCCAAGTGAGGGAACCATCCCAGGGCAGCTCTGGAGCTGAGGGAACCATCCCAACTGAGGGAACCATCCCAACTGAGGGAACCATCCCAGAACAGCTCCTGAAGATGAGGGAACCATCCCAGGTGAGGGAACGATCCCAGGGCAGCTCCTGGAGCTGAGGGAACCATCCCCAGGTGAGGGAACCATCCCAGGGAAGCTCCTGGAGCTGAGGGAACCATCCCAGAACAGCTCCTGAATATGAGGGAATCATACCAAGTGAGGGAACCACCCCAGAACAGCTCCTGGAGCTGAGGGAACCATCCCAGGGCAGGGAACCATCCCAGGGCAGCTCCTGGATGATGAGGGAACCATCCCAACTGAGGGAACCACCCCAGAACAGCTCCTGGATGATGAGGGAACCATCCCAGGTGAGGGAACCATCCCAAGCGAGGGAACCATCCCAGGGGAGCTCCTGAAGATGAGGGAACCATCCCAGGTGAGGGAACCATCCCAGAGCAGCTCCTGGATGATGAGGGAACCATCCCAGGTCAGGGGACCATCCCAGAGCAGCTCCTGGAACTGAAAGAACCATCCCAACTGAGGGAACCACCCCAGAACAGCTCCTGAAGATGAGGGAACCATCCCAAGTGAGGGAACCACCCCAGAACAGCTCCTGGATGATGAGGGAACCATTCCAGGTGAGGGAACCATCCCACGGCAGCTTCTGGAGCTCAAGGAACCATCCCAGGTGAGGGAACCAACCCAGGGAAGCTCCTGGAGCTGAGGGAACCATCCCAGGTGAGGGAACCATCCCAGGTGAGGGAACCATCCCAGGGCAGCTCCTGGAGCTGAAAGAACCATCCCAAGTGAGGGAACCACCCCAGAACAGCTCCTGCATGATGAGGGAACCATCCCAGGTGAGGGAACCATCCCAGAACAGCTCCTGGATGATGAGGGAACCATCCCAGGGCAGCTCCTGAAGATGAGGGAACCATCCCAACTGAGGGAACCACCCCAGAACAGCTCCTGAAGATGAGGGAACCATCCCAAGTGAGGGAACCACCCCAGGGCAGCTTCTGGAACTGAGGGACCATCCCAGGTCAGGGAACCATCCCAGGGCAGCTCCTGGATGATGAGGGAACCATCCCAGGTGAGGGAACCATCCCAGGGCAGCTTCTGGAGCTGAGGGAACCATCCCAGGTCAGGGGACCATCCCAGGGCAGCTCCTGAAGATGAGGGAACCATCCCCAGGTGAAGGAACCATCCCAGCGCAGCTTCTGGAGCTCAAGGAACCATCCCCAGGTGAGGGAACCATCCCAGGGCAGCTCTGGAGCTGAGGGAACCATCCCAGGTCAGGAGACCATCCCAGGGCAGCTTCTGGATGATGAGGGAACCATCCCAGGGCAGCTTCTGGAGCTCAAGGAACCATCCCAAGTGAGGGAACCACCCCAGAACAGCTCCTGAAGATGAGGGAACCATCCCAACTGAGGGAACCATCCCAGGGCAGCTCCTGGCTCTGCTGCTCCTCCAGGGAAGGGCTAAGCAGCTGATGCACCCAGAGGAGGCTCTCNAAGGAGAATAAGGAGAAGGAGAATAAGGAGAAGGAAGAGAAGGTGTCTCACCCACACAGGTCGGCAGGGGCTGGTCCCAGGCTCTCCTCTCCCCAGTCAGGCACACCAGCACCCTGGTGCCTCTCAGCGTGTAGCCAGGGTCACAGCTGAAGGACACTGAGCTGCCAGCAAAGTGTCCCTCGTCGTGCACCTTGTACCCAAACTGGGGCACGCCGGGGTCCTCGCACTTGATGAGCTCAAAACCTGCACAGGGAGCAAGGGCAGCTGTTGGCAGCAGGGATTTCACAGCCAGGAGGGTCTCACACAAAGCCATGGTGGGGTTTTCTTCTTACAGTGATTTGTTGGGGACCAAAGGGGCCATGTTGGAAATTAGAGGGGTTTTAATTACTGCTGGAGTTTTGATATGAATTTCAGGATTGCTACAGGCTCGACAGGAAAGGTTTGATCAGGGAACAGGGACAGGAGAAGAGCAAACAGCCTTGAGCTGTGCCAGGGGAGGTCAGGTTGGATACCAGCAGGAATTTCTGCATGGAAAGGGTTGGAAGGAGGTTTGGAGTGCCCATCCCTGGAGGTGTCCAAGGAATGGCTGCAGGTGGCACTCAGAGACAAGGTGAGGATCAGGCACAGCTTGGACTGGGTGGGCTTGGTGGGCTTTCCCACCCTCAGTAATCCTGGGATTCTGTGCTCTCCCACACTCCAACTCCACTTTGGGTACAAGATCACCCCAGAGAGGGTTTTGCTCATGTTCAACACAAAACCACAAAAATACACCTTGACCTGTGGGACTGGAACTCACTGGAGAACTGCAGCTCGAAGCCCTTGCTGGTGTTGGCAGTGTCAGTGATGAACTCCAGCCACATGGAGCTCGAGGTGCTGTTGATGCTGGTGCCCAGCAGCTCCGAGCGGCTGAAGGTGCCCAGCAGGCGGGCAGAGCTGTTGGTGCCATCGTAGACCTGGGGGGGAACGAGAAATCCAGCCTGGAAAAGCCATTCCTGGGATCAAACCATCACTGCCCAGAGGGGCTCCGGCTGCCCCTGCATCCCTGCGAGTCTCCAAGGCCAGGCTGGATGGGGCTTGGAACA